GTCCGTCACCAAGGGTATACCATAAATTATTATCATACTTTTCGCGCCTTATCTCCTTGCAACGGCGCGACTAGTACGACGAGATCGCTCCACACGATGAGGCACTGTACTCAAGGCCTCTTCATTAACGCGTTTCTTTCGCGAGTGCGAATTTATGTATTATCACACCGCGTCATGATTCAATTTTTTTTCGCAATCTTTCGAAGAGAGTTTGACCATTTTTCACCATCTTTCTCAAATTTCTATCCTGTTTTGCGTCTCCTACCTTTCGACGTCACATAATGGAAACTCAGAGTAAGCGATCTCGCGTATCGAAGAATGAAATTCATCATTCTTGTATATAGTCAGTGATAGAAAGTTTGCAATTTTTTCCAATAAATTTCTTAATGCTTCTGCATCCAAAATTATTGTCCTATCTAATAGGAAAATTCGTTTTTTTTTTATAACTCTTAGGATATTTTTCGGATTGTTAACTTCATTTCTTATTATTATTTATTGTATATATTAATCTTCAGAAGAAATTTTTAGTTGGATGTGCCGGATGCGCTTTGAAATTCATCGAGATACTCTGCAAATTCCTCGAGGTGAAATTCCACTAAAGACGAGTGAAAATTCACCGGAAGCGATAGCGAAAGTACTATCATTCAAAATCGTAAGAACGAAGAATGTTTGACTCAACTTTAAAGCGGACTCTTGATCCTTACGGGTGAATGTTTCAATCGTGTAGAGTGAACTGGCTCTTCCGACGGTGGAATAAATCTGATTCACTCTTCAACTTGGAGTGAAAACATCCTCACTCGATTCGGAGCGGAGAATTCGCTCTGTACAAGTGAAAAATCACTCGAATGATTCGGCTGTCGCTGTTCGAGTGAAATTTCGCTCCGCGAAACTTAGAGAGTGTTCAAGCGCCGCGCAATCTTTCCGTCGTCGACTACGTCGTCTCGAGCGTGTCCAAATCGAAAAAATGTCATTATTAAGATCGCGGCGGTTACGAAGGACAATGAGAACGAGCTCGAAGGAGAATCGTCTTCCCTTTTTTCTGACCCGGCGCTCATCTACGAGCGGACCGGCGCGTATTCTTCGACGCGCGCGGTATAATTATTTTTCCGGCCCTTATTCTCATGACAGGCTCCCTCTCTCGTGCCGAGGATCTCTCTCCTCGCGCTCTCGGGAAGAAAGAAAATGTAAGGGGATGAGCTCAGGAAGCCACCCTTACGTCAGGAACGAAGCGTCGTACCGCGAGTAATTCGAACGGGAGAAAAGAAATTAGCGAAATTAAACGTCAGGCCGTGCCTCGGCTCGAAAGGTTCGAAAGGGCGGCTGGCATGACGAACTCCCTCCCTACGTCCCTCTCTTCGTCCTTTGCTTGCTTCGTCCACTTCCATCGGATTCGGACTATTTGCGATTAATTATTCGAACGGCGGCAGCGGCGGCGGCGAGGAGGAGGAAGATCTCAAATAGGTGAGAGTGGGAGCGAGAAACAGAGCGAGACGAAAGAGAATCGGAGAAGGATTGGGGGTCGTCTCTCTCTCTCTCTCTCTCTCTCCGGTGACGTGAAAATCACCGGGCGTCGAATGCACATCGCACGCGCTCACGAGAGAGAAGAGGTCTGTAGCGCGTTACCACCCTCGAAATCGCACGAATTGTCGTCCACTGTGTGCGCTTTGGACGCATCGCATTTGTTCGTCGCATCGTCCTCCAATTGAAACGCGAGATATATTTCTGCCGTTAACAAACGGCGTAACATCACCAGACACGGCCGGCGTTTAAATGGGGAAATTTAAGCTTATCATTATCCGGGAATTTGGCGAGCGCGTTAACGTTACCCGGGACATAAGCGCGGTACAGTTTCAACCGGTCTCTCTCGACGTTCCGCGCCGCGAAACGCGTTGCGCGATACAAATAGAGAGAGAGAGAGAGAGAGAGAGAGAGCTCTCTCTGTCTGGTGTAACGTAATTTCTTCGCACCACTCGCGCAGAGTGCGATTCAAAAATGTCCGAGCCGCTTCTCTTTGCGTCAATTCGACGGGGATGTCGAACTAATTTCAAGCGCAAATTATTCGACGACGTGACGAAGTCGGTAATGTATGCATATATATGCACGCGCGGGGCACACACAAATGGCACACGTAGAAATCGGCAGTCTATGATCGATCCCGATATTCATCCGCGGGCGATAAAGCGCCGAAAAGTGATTCGCGAGTATTTTTAGTCGAGCGCGCTCGCGCGCCGAGCGTAACTCATATATTTGTTAAAACCTCCCTGGTCAAAAGCAGCACCTCGTAAATGGAATTAATCTGTCGATGCGTACCGTGCGTCCATTTAATATCCATCACGCGTTCATCACTGTAGAAGCGGTCCAGCGGCCGGTGTTCGCGTCACGTTGCGAAGCCGCGCGCGCTCTTCCCTCTCTTTTCCCTTTTTTCCCGCCGTTTCTGCCTTTTCCCGGCGTCCGTCCCTCGCCATCGAGCACGCGGCCGGGAGCTCGCCGGGGGACACGCCGAGAGCTTCTAATTTCGTGGAATCCGCGAAAACGATGACCGGTGGTAGGCGATGACAAATTTTGTGCGTAGCATCTTAGTACGCCGCGCGCCCGTCGAAAACTGACCTCGCAGCTGGCCGCCTTAAAAAAGGGGGGCAGAAGGGCCCCGGACGGGAGAGGGATGGCCCATCTCGCACGGGGTCCTCGCGAACGCCGGGTGGGGGGTCAGAAAAGGGGCGAGCATCGCGCTGTCCAGGATTTTTCTATTTTTTTAGCGCCCTCTCTCTCTCGTTCTCCGTCTCTTCTCCTCTCGCTCCCCCTCTCTGTGTGTACCTCTCATTCTCTTTCTCTCTTGCTCTCTTTCTTCCGCTCCGTGCGAGCGTTATATTTCGTCTTCCCTCCGGCAGACGTATCTCAAAGATGGGTTGAACCTGTTTAAGGGCTGTGTTTAAAGATCGAATCAAAGGGTGACGCGCGTCGGTAGGTAGGGTCGGCGAATGTATCTTCTGGAAACGCCGCTATTGTAATTGTAACATCATCGTTCTCATGGCGCTGATTCGCATCGGGTCGAGAACCGTTGTCGGGGACGAACTCGTTTATTCGTATTTTCCAGCCAGGGAAAGGAAGCGCCGTGCTTTCCTACCGGATTCCGTATGGGAAACGGACGGCGTTGCACAGTGGCGCGCACGCAGCTATCGATTACGAAATTTTCGGTGCAGTCATTGTAACATAGGTATGCACGTGTATATGCACGTATACGTGTGTGTATATTTCCTATATACACACACACACACACATACACACATATACATTCTCCTACAAATATCTATAATTATCTATTTAAATGAAAAAATATCCCTATAATTTCCGCTGAATTGGACCGACCAACGGAATAATTTATTGAATCGTGCCGGAGCGATTCGTTACTAGCTGTAACAAGCGCTTCCTCGTTATCCCGCAATTTTTTCCCCGTGAAAGCCCGAAGTGACAAAGAAAAAGCAACAACAACAGCGGCGGGTGGCAACGCGCGCGCGGGGGCGTCGATGTTTCCGGGGGACGCGGGATTTTCATCCTCTTTTTTTTCTTTTTTATTTTTTTCCAAACCCCTCTCCGCTTTCATTCGACGCGCGAACGCGCAATACATATGCCGCCAGTTATTTATTGACACACACTCACTTCACCGTGGTCCGATACACTTTATTTGTCCTTTATTATTTATCGCCGTCGAAATTCTGCGCATTGTTTTCCAAAACACTGCAACTAATCACCACCACCACTACCCCGTCCCCGCCGTCCCCCCTTGACCNACCACCACCGCCGCCCCCTCCTCCCTCCTCACGCTGGCACCTATTCGATCGATCGTTCCGCACGACCCTGCCACGGATTGTCTACGGTCGATCCTCGATACCTCGTCGGTTTTCGAGGTAGCTACGTCGACACTCTCGGCATGTTCGTCGAGGAAGCCGGGGCGGCAGGACAGCAGCAACACCAGCAACAGCACCCGATAGCGAGACAGCGGCGGGATTTCGAAGCGAATTTCGCGGAGACGGGAAAGACGGCGGTGGAAGGCGGGAGGCGCGCGGCAAATTCCCGGCGCGACCGATTTTTTTCCCCGACGTGCATTCGTTTTCTCTTTTCCGTTCTCCCGTTTTCCTCCTTTTCTCCCACTTTTCTATTCTGTTCTTCCGTCCCGCCACCGTCTTTCGATGTTTTGTTAGTAACTTGTTTTTTTTTTGTTTTTTTTTTCAGTTTGCTTTGGTTTTGCGCGTTGCAAAGCGTGTGTACCCGGCGTAGTTCTGCAAGCAAGGAACACAGCATGTTTGTTAGAGGTCGAGGCATGAGAGAAAATCTATCGAAGCGAGACGCCGGCAATACGAGGTGACTTTTTGCGAATCGCAGATTCGATCGTTAATAATAGAACGATAAGGTAGATCGTGCGTATTGCCCGAGATATTATTCGAGCATGAAGCTCACGTGCAAATATATATATATATATATATATATATATATATACATGCATAGGTACACACACGCCTACGCACGCCTATCCGACGCTATTTGTCGCGTAGTCTCCAAATTAATCTAATACATGCGATACATAATTAAATAATTGCAATAACTATTTCACATTATCGACTCGGATAATTAAACTGAATCGTCGAATTGGATTGAATCGTCCGCGATTCTTATGTCTTATCAATTAAATTTAATCACATTCCTTATTTAATTAAATTGAATTCTATCAATTGCGCGAATTCCCATTGCTCGACTCTGGTCACGATCGTGTCGTCGATGCGTCAGAGCGCGCGCACTCTTCCTTTCTCACTTTTCGCCTCCGACTTAACGCGCGTTTCGCTCGCCGTGAGTCTACGAAGATATCGCAAAAAGACCTTCCTCTCAGGCCGCTCATTTCCGTCTCTCGCGAGCGTCCCCTTCGGCCTCGGTAAAGCGATAGCAGATATATTAAGAGCGCCATAGAGCCGAGTCATTCGATTTAGCCTCCTGTACGCCTCACCTACCTCCGTGGAGACGGTAGCCCAAGTTTCGCAAAGTCCGGCGTGTTTCTCAAGACGACTCCCTCGTCATCGCCGCGATCGTCATCCTTATCGTTCCCGTCGTCTTCGTCGTCGTTGTCGTCATCGGCATCCTCCTGCACTCGACGCAGCAGCCGACCGCCGTTCCTCCAGTTCATCCGACACCCTACGCCGAGTCGCGCCACCCGTCGTCGCGCGTCACCCACTTTTCCTGCCGGCGATTTCCGTCTCACCGTGAGCGCGTCTCTTTCTCTCTCGCGCGCGATCGATCGGTTGGCCGATCGATCGCTCGATCGAGCTGGCGGGCGGTCGTGCGCGCGCGCTCAGGCACGCGGCTTCTCCTCTTGCGCGGACGCGAGAGCGCGTGGATCGCGATCGATGACACGCGGATCGACGCACGAGCCTCTCCACCTCCTCTTCCACCTTCTTCTCCCGCTGCCCGTTGATTTTCGCGCCTTACCGTTTTCCCGCGACGAGGTACGGCCGATCGCGCTTTGGCGGCTCCGCGCTCGCACTGGACGTCGCGCCGACGAAGACGACGACACCGCGTGATCCCGGCTCCGCCACGTCGCAGGAGGCCGTCGTGCTCCCTAAGATCGAGCGCAGATTTTTCGCGAGTGGTGCCGTGCCGGCGAAAACGCGCGTCAGGGCCGTGTTAAACGGGCGGGAGGAGGGGCCGAGAGTTTTTTCCGAGGCTGCCGACCGATTTTCCACCGTGTTGTTCACCCTCGCATTTTGCGGATCAGCTTCTCGTCGCGAATCCACCCTCCGTCGTGTGAGAATTTCGTCCGTTTCCTTTCTCCCTCCCTCTTTGTTTTCCTCTCCTCCTGTCTCTCGCTTTTCCCGCAGGATCTATCCAATCAGATCGTTCGGCCGGTCGAGATCACTCCGAATGAAGCGGCACCGTCGATTCTTTATTCGCTCTCGTCTTGGGAGAATTGGATAAGCGCGTGGTCGCAATTGTCGGCGGCGATTCGCAACGCCAGCCGGATGCGGATTATCGGAGGACTCGGCGCAACGCGAGTCGTCGTCGCAACTCTCTCTCTCTCTCTCTCGTTGGTTCCTGCTCTCGTTGCGCGACACGGCCGTTGAAAGTCGTCGAGCCGCCGAATCTGTTTCTACGCTCTCGATGTTTCGCACAGCTCAACTTACGCGGCCCGATCGATAATCGATGACACAACTCCCTGCACGGAAGATCGCACGGAGCGCGTCTTCGGGGGAGAGAGGGGGGGGGGGGCTCGAATTTCGCCGAAGATGCCGGAAATCCGCCGATTTTCTCTCACTATCCGTGTCCCACCGGTCGCGAGGAGAGGAGAGGGACTCGAGACCGGGTGTTCCGGCGACTCGCACGTGCGTACTTGCGACGAGCGTGGACGCGCGGCGGACGACCGGTATGATAATTCGCGTAGACGCGCACACTCACACACTGGCCACACCAAGACTTCCGAAGACGAGAGAGTGCGTATCCGCGCGAACGGACGCTGCTGCGGAGTGGGCCCGTGGTCCCTTCGTTTTCGTCGGCCCTTTCCTCTGCGCTCTTCCGTCGAGGACCAGAGAGAGGGAGAGAGAAAACCGATATTTCCCCGGCGTCTCGCGGCTTTCCCGACTGGGCCGCGCGCGCGCGACAGAGAGAAGAAGAAGAAGAAGGCTCCTCCTGATGCGCGGGAGCGCCTCACTGAAATCGCCTATATATCTCTCGATCTTTATCACCGAGCGCGAACTCTCCTCCTCCGCCTCCTCCTCTCCTCCACCCCCGCCTTCTCCCTCACTCTTTCTCTCTTTCCCCTCGCTCTCTTTTTTTATCCTCTCCCGCCTTATCTCTCTCTCTCTCTCTCTCTGCCTCTCTCTGCGCAGGCTGTCTCTCTCCCTTTGGACGATCGGTATCGCACGCGCGGGTCTCGTTTCGACGGCACAGCTCGCGAGCTCTCTCGGTGACGCGCGCGCGACCGTACCGGGGCCCCGACTTCGATATTTCTGCGATTTATTGCGGCGCGACTTAGAAATGCATCTAATGCGGTGCACGCCGCATAGAATGCATGCATGCACCTTGGCGGGGAGGGCGAGAGCCGCGGAGAGCCGAGAAGCGCGGAGTCGGGCCGAGTCGAGTCGCGACGCGCGGTCGCGCCAGCGCATGCGCCGCTGCCGCCGACGCCGACGAGAGCGTGTGTACTTCTACTCGCGCGATCTCTAGCCAAGCTAACGCGAGCTAGCGAAGAACGCGAGAACGCGGGCGAAGCAGATCGGCCCAGGAGTACCTACGCTACGTCATTCACTGGCGTGGAGACAGGGCACCCACCGTGTGCCTCCGGCGTGGACCGAGAGAGAGAGAGAGCGGCGGCGGCGGCGGCGGTGCGCTTCCCGCGTCTCCGCGGGAACAAAGGATCCGTACGGAACCCGAAGCGTGAAATTCGACCGATTTTTCGCCGCTACCGACTCGCAATATCGCAGATAACGCCGCGGTAACGGCGAATTCAAATTTGCGCTGGTCGAAGGTGGCGCGACGCGCGTAAAACCGGCGAGATGTTCCGGAAAGGACGTACGAATCGCGTAATCGCAACCGAATTTGGTCCGCACCTCTCGCAGCTGCGCCCATATCAGAGGAGAAAAAGATGAGAGGTGAATATACAGTCGATCACGAAAAGGTCTCGGGATGCACCTCCGACAGGAGGATTTCGTTTTTAGTCATTCTCAGGAGGTACATTTTTCTATTGGATATACGATATGTGTTGCGAAACTCGTTGAAAATGAAGCGTCGCGACTCCGTTTGCAACTCTGGCTCTATTTGGTTTCCGAGAATACGTCATTTTTCCATTTCTTCGAATCGTGTCGATTGTCACAGATCTCCGTGACGTCGCGAACGGCGGGAGGTGCACAGAAAGACTAGTCTTAAATCAATGATAGATGTGCTCGTACGTAAGCAAAAATAATATAAATATTCTCAGAAGATTTTTAGTCTTGACTTGGGTGCAAGTAATACTTGCATCGATACAAATTCAATCGAGCTAAAATTAGAAATCTTCTAAAATCTTCTAATAATATTTTTGCTTATATATGAGAATATATATTCCTGATTGAAGACTAATTTTTTCCTGTGGAGGCGAGGACGGTGAGCGCGAATGAAGAGTGTACGAAAATTATGAAGGAGAGAGAAAGAGAGAGAGAGAGAGAGATGGGGCAACGAAAGCCGGTACATAAACCGGAAGATTCCCCGCCACGAGGAGGAGGTCCGGTAGCGCGAACGCAATTTTGGGCGCGATTAGCGTACGGCCGAAACACGCGAAACTCCCCGCGGACCACTCGTAGGCCACCCACGTCAGTAATTCCGGACGGTCCGCTAGCGCACACCACGCGCGCGATCTGGAAAAGCGCTAAAATATCCTGATGCGAACTCGCGAGAGAGTTACCGCCGTTGAATTCTCTCGCTCGACGTTCTCCATACGCGCACTCGCTCACTCGCTCGCTCGCGCGTCCGATGCGCCGCGCGTATGCGCTCGCCGGTATGTTGTGCGCACGTATGTGTCTCGTGTGTGTGTATGTTCATGCACATACACCCGGTGTGTTTCCATGTCGGTGCTACGGCCTATCCCGTAGCACTATAGAGCGGTATGGAGAGGGCTGCTCTCCGCGTTTCTCTTTCCGCCGTCTTTCCTCGGTCCTCGTTGCAGTGGGTGGAGGAGGAGGAGAAGCAGGAGGAGAGGAAGCGGAGGAAGAGGAGGATGAGGAGGGCAAGCGGGTGTAAGGCCCCCCGCTATGTACGACACTGCGCGATTTTTTGACGACCGATGAAAGTTACTCGCGAGATATTCTATTTTAAACTTTCGGCCGACAGCGGCGGCCGCCGTTGCGCGCCTCCGCACCCGGCGTTTCTCTCTCTCTCTCTCTCTCTTCTTTACCGTCTTTCTCTGCCTCGTCCACACTCTCTTTCTCTCGCCCACCGTCCCTCCTCTCGTCCTTCTGCCGCGCGAGAGACTTCCTACATCGCGATAATTCCTGAAAAGGAGGAAGCCATTTTGCGCGAAGCGGAGCGGCAGCGCGCCGCGAATCTCCGCTTTGATTCTCGTAGTGTCGTCGTCGACGACAACGGAAAGAGGACGGAGGGACGAGCGGAGGAGAGGAACGTAGGTAGGGGGTGGAGGGAGAAAGAGAGATTTTTCGCCATAGGCGAAGGAAAGCGCACGCCACGTAGGTAATGGTGAAACGCTCGTACCCGTTGTTTTTTCCGTTCGGCTGAATGATTTATCAGATCGGGATCGATCGGGTCGGGGAACGGTAACCGCGCGCGACGCGGTTGCAAACCGACGAAACGGCAGGCTCCATTATTACCACCCCCTTCCCCTCTTCCCTCTTTACATTGTGACCGCTCGCGAGCGTTTGATCGCGTTATAAAAAATCCAATACTTTTGTCCGCCGCAAAATACAATCCACGAGGTCCGATAACATTTTTGATAACCGCTTTTAATTGCGCTTTGTTGTTTGACGCCGGTATTGTTCCGCTCGCAACATTGCCCTATGTTAATCAACAGAAAAAGCAGCGAGCGCGCGCGAAAATGTTTACACGCATTTCGGAGAATGACCAGCGCGACTCGGCTACACGGAGCGCGCGAGGTGCCCTCTCTTCCTCCTCCTCCGCTCCCCCCCCTCCTCGCCGCGCCACCTCATCCTCCTCCTCCGCGATCGATCGCGCGCGCACGTTGCACTCGCGCGCTGGCGATCTCGAGAGCGCAGGGGAAACGAAACTGTCTCACTGCATCGGTGCGCAATTCGCCGTTAATCGATTCGACACTCCACGAATTAAAAGCGTGCTCGCACGACGTCGTCGGAAACAGCGGGTACACGTGACTTCTTTTCTTTTTCTCCGCATACCCTCAGGCTAATTGCGCGCCGACGTAATATCGTATCTGGAAATAGCGCGATGTATCGCTCATTACGCCATTCTTGCGCGCGATGACGAGAGGAAGGGAACGGTACACGCGAGAACGAAGTCGAATGGAAGAAGACAGAGAGAGAGAGAGAGAGAGAGAGAGAGATAAAAGTGCCTCGTCGACACGCTCGTTAGCGCACTCGGCATTCTTTTCGTACACGTCGCAAGCGGAATAACTTTTCTCAATTTCATCAGAGATCCCCGGCACATGGGCGCGCGCTGCGTCGCGCTGCGTCCGCAGCGCGGGAAATAATTACGGCGATAAATTAATTAAAGAGTAGCGTACGCGGAGCGAATTCATCACGCTCGCGCGCGCGAATCGGGATCGCCCGCGACATCGGCGAAAAAAATATCAATCGATACGGTTCGTTCGTCGGCGAAAGGAACGCGCATTCGATATTCGCATATCCGATGCGAATCCCCGGCGGGCACCGCTGCCGGCCGAAAAATAATTTTCAGCTACCGTTCGCACGACGGAAAGAGAGAGAGAGAGAGAGAGAGAGGGGGCGCGCGCGCGCGCGGGATATGCGCGCAAACGCGCACGCGGATCATCCGTCGCGTCGGACTCTGGTCCCGCGGTGCCTTTTTCTTTTTTTCCGCCCCCTCCACCGTTCGCCGCCCCCTGCCACCCTCGACGACCCCCACCGTAGCTACCGCTACCGCCGTTGCCGCCGCCACCGCCCGAGCACACCCCGCGGGATGCACGGCGCGCCGTAGCGCGCCGGTCGCTTTTGTTTTCCTCTATTTTCCGGTTTTTCCGGGTGGGCCGCGCCGGACACACGGTGGCGGCGGCGGCGGCAACGGCCGGTGGTGTGTGGCGCGCAACAAGTAGCAGATTATAAAAATCACTCGACGGCCCGGGGGCGTGCTGAGGAAAAAAGGAGGTACGGCGAAAAAAAAAAGCCACCGGCGAGCGGTGGCACGCCGATGGAGAAAGCGGGATGGCGAGCGAGCGCGGGAAAGAGCGGCGCCCGCGCGCGAGAGAGAGAGAGACAGCGAGATATCGCGCGGGAGTCGGATAGAGCGCAGGAGCGAGAAGGGAAGAGAGCTCGCGGGTGAGAACGAGAGGGATGACGAAGGACCGGTGCGGAACGCGCGGGGGGCCGAGGGGGAACGCACGGCGAGTGAAAGAGGTCCGGTCCGGAAGATAGAGCGAGAGGGAAAGCGCGCGAGAGAGATGCGGGCGTAGGTACACATTTACCTATACATATGTATGTTTCCACCCTCCTCCTCCTCCGCCTCTGCCTCCACAACCTCCACCTCTTCCATCGCCTCCTCGTCCTCTGCCTCTTCCACCTTCCTCCGTCCGCTCTGCCCCCTTCGCCCACCCGCGCCTTCGCTCTGGCTCGCTCTCTACCTCGCCAAGCTGTAGTTTCATCGCTGTCTCTCTCTCTCTCTCTCTCTCTCCCTTCGCCACCCTCCTCTCTCTCCTTCGCTCGCACCCTCTCTCTCTCTCTCGCTTCCTCCCTCTTTCTCCGCCTATACTTCGGCTTTCGGTCTCCCGCGCTCTTTCCGCCCGCGTATAAGCCGTGCGTGGCGATTTACATTAAACGCGGTCCGTTTCCCTCCGCCGTTCCGCGGGAATACGCGCGAGTGTTGGTGGTTTGAGGGAGGCAGCCGCGGCGACGGCGGCAGAGTGAGAAGAGGGCTCTCTCTTTCTCGCGCGACCGGCTGCACCGAGGGGAAAATCGTCCGAAAATACGCGGACGCGAAACACACCGAGGACCCGATACTCTCTCTTTCTCCGTCTCTCTCCTCCGGCCGTCTCCGTCGCGCGCGACCGCGTGCTGTGGAGCCCCTCGCGGAAAAAGAACCCTCTCGTCCGGCGCGTGTCGCGCGTCTCCCGATCGCGTCGCAGAGTCGATTTCCGGCT